AACCCGAACTCCTACCCTAAACCCTAAACCCTAAACCCTAACCCTAAACCCGAACTCCTAGATCCCGACAAGGGCCGAATCAACCTGTGGCTCTTAGTTCTTGCTACGTCGGATTTTTGACTTCCGGCCTCAGCAGGTTTTGTCCCTATACGCTTAACCCCTAAACCCTAAACCCTAAACCCTAAACCCTAAACCCTAAACCCTAAACCCTAAACCCTAAACCCTAAACCCTAAACCCTAAACCCTGCATCATGGGCAACTTTTGACTGGGTCCTCATCGTGCTGCAGTCCCAAGTCTGCAAGGTTGTATGCACCTACATAGTTATGTACTTAGGCCCTTAAAAAGGGTTCCTAGTAGCTTTAGAGCCCCAAGCGAGTTCACGCGTGGAACTTTTACGGGACGCAGCATCAGCTGAGGATATATCTTCCTCGACTGGTTCGCCATCCCTCAGATAACTGCGCGGGTCGAAGGGGTCAACGAGGAGGTGACGAAATCAGCTCCTCGACCTTGTTTGTTGCGTTTAGAGTGTTAGGTTCTGCGAAGGCTTAGGATGTTTGGGGAAAGGTTTGGGATGTTGTTCTTAGTTTCGTTGGTCAGGAGTTGCGTTGAGTCGTTCAGTCTCATGACTTTTGTGTGTGCGTGTGGGCCAGGGTTTAGGGTAGTCTTGCAGGAGCCCTTAATTCCTTACTTCATATCCTGCTTTCCGTGTCCCTCGGTCCTCCTAGCAGAGCTGCCCTAAACCCTAAACCCTAAACCCCGAAGCAACACTGGCTCCGTTCGGTCTCTCGTGGCTCCTTGAGGTCTTCAACAGGGTTCCGGGGTTCAGGGTTTGGGGTTTGGGGTGTAGGGTTTAGGGTTTGGGTTGCAGGGATACTCGTGGGTACTCAGACCCCCAGTTGTAAGTCTACTGATTAGAGGACTTGGGGGGCTTCAAAGTACAGTGAAAATTGGTGTTATAAGTACCCTGAATCTCCAAGCACAGGGTTGCAGGGTTACATAGGGTTTGGGGCTGCGGGGCTACGTGCTTGCAGGATTTAAGACTGTCGGGCAATGGGGTTCAAGGGCGGTTCAGAAGTCGAATGAGTCATCGTGTTAGCAGCCATTGGTTGTCTAAGTGTCCTATAGCTTTGTCGGGGTGACACTCGGATGCCCAGTAGTGTTGCAGGTCTACTTGGAGGTTCAGGGTACTTATTCACCAGTTATAACTGTACTTAGAACTGTACTTACAACCATGTTCGGGCCCTTAAGCAGCTTATAAGGGGGGTTATAAGTACAGTTTTAACTGGTCAATAAGTACCATGAACCTCCAAGTAGGGGTCTATAGGATGCCTAGTAGCATACCGTTTTTTAATTTCTGAGTTGGGGGTGGGGGTCAGGTTTTTTGAAGAGGACGAACTAGCGAGACCAGGTATCCCAGTTCGTGCTTTGGTAAGCCCTATAAACCCTAAACCCTAAACCCCTAAACCCTAAGCCCCCAAACCCTAAACCCCACACCCCACACCCTAAACCCTAAACCCCTAAACCCCTAAACCCTAAACCCCTCAACCCCTAAACCCCCAAACTCCCTAAACCCTAAACCCTAAACCCCTAAACCCTTGGGAGTTCCTGAGGAGGCGGCTTTGGCTGTGCAAAGCATCCCGGCCTACGTCGAGGCGTGCGGCTCGCGGGAGTGCGCTGACTTGGTTGAGGGTTGCAGGCCCTAAACCCTAAACCCTAAACCCTAAACCCTAAACCCTAAACCCTAAACCCTAAACCCTAAACCCTAAACCCTCTGGGCTCCAAGGGTTTGGGGTCTCAGGGTTTGGGGGCGCAGGTTTTGGGGTTCAAGGATTGAGGGTTCCTAAACCCCAAACCCTAAACCCTAAAAAACCCTAAACCCTAAACCCTAAACCCTAAACCCTAAACCCTATGGGCTCCAAGGTTTGTAGGGTTTCTCCAACGTCTGAGCATCTGAAGCTGAGGGTTTAGGGTTTAGGGTTTAGGGTTTAGGGTTTCGGGTTTAGGGTTTAGGGTTTATAGGGTTTAGGGTTTAGGGTTTAGGGTTAGCGTTTAGGGTTCAGGGTTTAGGGTTTAGGGTTCAGGGTTCAGGGTTTAGGGTTTAGGGTTTAGGGTTCAGGGTCAGAGTTTAGGATTTCGGTTTGTTTTGTTTTTTAAGGTTTAGGGTTCCATTTCCGGGAAGAAAGAAGCCGACTTGGCTGGCATTTCTTTCCTGGATTTAGGGTTCCATTTCCGGGAAGAAGCCACTAAACTTCCAAAACCCCGAAGTTCTGATCCCTAAGCCCTAAGCCCTAAACCCTAAACCCCGAAGCCCTAAACCCGAAACCCTAAACCCGAAACCGTAAACCCTAAAAGCCCTAAACCGCAGCAGGTGTCGAACCTTTTTGTGGCGCTTGTCCCTGAGGCCATCCACAAGGAGAGATTGGGACACCAGAGGCCCTAAGCCCTCATTCCTATAATGCCTACATGGGTCGCTGTCAAAATCATGATCCCTTTTCGGGTACCCCCAAATAGGGAGCCAAAAAGGGACCATAATTTTGACAACCACCCGAATACAGGTTTAGGGTGTAGGGTTTAGGGTCCTATACATCCCATAACCCTCAAAGAAAACCCTAAACCCTCTAAACCTAAGTTTATCCGGAGACCCTAGACCCCCAACCCTGCTCTACGTGAACCCGGCTCGCTAAATGCGCCAAACAACCTTAGAATCTCTCAAACCTACAACGGTTCAAGACAAAAAGCATTCATCCAAAGCCCGAAAACCTTGAGCCAACCCTAGAAGCCTCAAACCCTAATCCCGAAAGCCCTAGGAGCCTTAACCGCCCCAAAAGCCCCAACACGAAACCTAAAGCCACAAAAGTCCCTAAACCCTAAACCCTGAGCCCTAAACCCTAAACCCTAAACCCTAAACCCTAAGCCCCAAAACCCCCTTAACAGGGTGTAGGTGTCGGGCTTATGGCTCAGGCCTGAGGCTGCTCCAGGTTGACGATCCACAGGTTTAGGGTTTAGGGTTTAGGGCTAAGGGCTTAGGGCTTAGGGCTGAGGGCTTAGGGCTTGGGGTTTTAGGGTTTAGGGTTTAGGGTTTAGGGTTTAGGGTTTAAAAGGTTCAGGGATGCTGTAATCCAAACACCTTCTGTCCTATATGCCCCCAAAGCCCTAAGCCCTGTAACCCCTCAACCCCTAAACCCTTTAACCCTTCACCCCCCTTAAGCCCTTTAGAAGTTTTGGGGTTGAGGTTCAAGGTTCAGGGCTGAGGGGATGGGGTTATGAGGATTTAGGGTTTAGAGTTTAGGGTCTCTTGGTTTTGGAGGTCGGTGTCATGAGGAGAGACAGAGCCACTGCAACTACACTACCTGGCTTACCCGGGGCGCCACACCCAGACGGGAATCGGGCTCATGGCGTCGGGTCTTAGACAAAGTTTAGGGTTTAGGGGGAGGTACTGCTATCCGTTTGCGAGGATGCTCACAAATCAGGCTTTGTATAATGGAAACGCTTCTGTTTGGGCTGTTTTGATGCATGATTGACGCCAGTGTCTTGCATACCCCGCTGGCCCCAAGGGCCATTTCTTGTTTGTTATTTGAGGTTTTGGGTTTAGGGTTGAAGGTTGTTTGGTTTGACGGCTTGGGTTTTTCAAGTGATTGGACCAAGGGTTGAGCCTTTCTTTTGCAGTGAGTCGGCGCGTAATTGCAGAGTTCCGGCATAGTCTGGCGCTTTGCCGCTGTCAGAGGTTTCTGAAGGGAGTGCCTATTTTTTTGGGTCTTTTTTTTTTTGGTCGATTTTCTTGGTTTTTCCTAAGAAAACCACCATTCCCTCCACATTTTTAAAGGATTTGATGCATTTCCGTGGTTTTTCGTACGAAAAACAGTAATTTCTCTGTGGTTTCATAGGAAAGCGTTATTTCTGGTAGGTTTTAGAAGGAAAGAAGGAAAGAAAGGAAGGAAGCAAGGATGAAAGAAAGGAAGAAAACACGGAAGGAAGGAAGGAAGGAAGGAAGGAGGGAAGGAAGAAAGGAAGGAAGCAAGGAAGGAAGAAAGGAAGGAAGAAAGGAAGGAAGCAAGGAAGGAAGAAAGGAAGCGTGCTTCGAAGCCCAAGAAACTAGTTGAAAAACATCGTGTGAGCATTGTGTTTGCAAATGGGGGGGGCTGCGCCCCCCCCAACCCCCCCGCTTTTTTTAAGCCGTGCAGAGCGTGCGCTTCAAAGCCCAAGAAACTTGTTGACACCCATCATGTGAGCAGGGTGTTTGCAAATGGTGGGGGGGGCTGCGCCCCCCCCAACCCCCCCGCTTCTTTTAAGCCGTTCAAAGCCCAAGAAACTAGTTGAAAATTATCGTGTGAGCATTGTGTTTGCAAATGGGGGGGGGCTGCGCCCCCCCCAACCCCCCCGCTTTTTTTCAGCCGAAGCCCAAGAAACTAGTTGAAACCCATCATGTGAGCAGGGTGTTTCCCCCCAACCCCCCCCTTGCTTCTTTTAAGCCGTACCAAGCGTGCTTCAAAGCCCAAGAAACTAGTTGAAAAGCATCGTGTGAGCATTGTGTTTGCAAATGGGGGGGGGCTGCGCCCCCCCCAACCCCCCCGCTTTTTTTTTAAGCCGTGCAGAGCGCGCTTCAAAGCCCAAGAAACTTGTTGACACCCATCATGTGAGCAGGGTGTTTGCAAATGGGGGGGGGCTGCGACCCCCCCCAACCCCCCCCGCTTCTTTTAAGCCGTACCAAGCGTGCTTCCCAACCCAAGAAACTAGTTGAAAAACATCGTGTGAGCATTGCAAATGGGGGGGGCTGCGCCCCCCCCAACCCCCCCGCTTCTTTTAAGCTGTACCATTCCCTATGAAAAACCAACGAAAACCTAAGGGAAATGACAGAAAATCCGTCCAAAATGTAAGGAAAGTAGGGTTTTTCCTAGAGAAAACCAAGAAAATCGACCAAAAAAAAAAAAAAGGCCCCCCAAAAAAAAAGACCCAAAAAAAAACTCCACCCGACACTATCTCCACCTCCTTCTTCCACTACATGGTCAAGAAGCCGGAACCCACGCCTTTATGTTCGAACGTTTGCAGGAGTGCAAGTCAGAGGCTTCGAGGCACTTGTTGACACTGCTGCAGAAGATGGAGTAATCGGAGATCGAGCCTTGCATAAGCTCACCCAGGAACTCCAGCGCTACAACTTGCGCCCCGTGGAAGTTGAGTCGGGCATCGCGGCGAATCCCTGTGCAGGCATTGGCGGCGCAGCGACTGTGCTGCGAACTGTGGATATACCCACTGCTCTGGCAGGGCAACAAGGAGTGCTTCATGAATGTGCTGCAAGATTCCGATGCTTTCTGTACGCCACCTCTGTTGCCAATCTCTTACCTGGAAGCTGTTAAAGCGGTCATCGACTTAGAGTCAGGGATGATACGGCTGCCGTCGGGACTATCTTCGCCTATGACAAGGCTTCAATCAGGACATCGAGCCGTGGATATCTTGCAGTTCCACAAGCAACCCTGGGAGCTTCCCAAGGAATATTTTGTCAACGGTCGTGATCCCTTTCGCATAGACTCGACCACGTCCCAGACCTCAGTTGTGTTGCCCGCGATGCAGGTTGAACGCAGCATGTCCCTCACCAGCACGCCGGCATCGAACTGGGAACAGTACCCGCCTTGGACTCACGACGCCATCTTCGACTGTGCCTCGTGCTGGCACTCTGAGCCTAAAGTGCAAGGCTTCCTGCAAGTTCAGCCGGGGATTTTCCATCTCGTGCATGAACTTTTGGGATGGCAACATCACCTTGTTTGTCCAGAAGATCTTGGCTTGGATCGAGTTCGGCATCTCACTTCTGAGCGGCACACTCTTGCTGTGCGTCCATCCTGTGAGCCCCAACACATTCGCGATTCCTGGATGAGCCCGTCAACGGCCCGACAACCTGTGACGCAGCCTTACATAGGCCGCGTTTTCTTCCAGGAGATGGATGCGGCTACCGCAGTGGCACCGCTAGAGTCTGGCACGTCGTTGGAACCTCCTGACAACGATTCCACCAATGGACCTCGCAGCGCCTTTCAGAGTTCTCCCGGTGGTGGTTCTGCTGGTGGCTCGGCAGTACTCGCGGGCACTGCAGTGGCGGCTCTGGTCGTGCATGCTTGGACCAATCGCGGGGTCTGAAGAACTCCAACGCGGCCAAAGTTGAGCAATTCGCTCGAAGCCTCCTAGATTCTTAGATGCCGAGGACTTCTCCGAGCAGAGCTTAATCCAGCTCTCCATGGAAATGAAGTCGGGACAGCCCAACAAAGTGCAAGGCGGCAAACAAGGCGTGTGCTTCGCGCTAGGTGCTTTTGTTCATGGAGGATTCGATGGACTCACCACGAACACCAAGAAGTACCCCAACCTGTGTCGGTATATCAATAGGTGGTTATTGCACACTTTGGGATCTTGCGAACATGATGGTTGGTCTTCAGTCTTCATCGGAATCCAGACCTTGGCGAGACCCCACAGAGATTCGAACAACTGTCGTCGCTCGAGAAATGTGACCGTGACCGTCGGCAGTTTCGATGGTGGGCAGCTGTGGTTAGAGGGTGAAGAAGCCGAAGCAAGGACTGTTGAGAAGGTTCTCCGAGAGCGGAAACTTCGGGGTTCGGTGGTGAACACGCACATCATGCCGTGCCTGTTTGTTTGATCCCAGACGCCGACACGCCTCAATGAGGTGGACGGGATACCGTGTGGCAATCACAGCATACACCACAAGAACGTATCAACAGTTGTCCCAAGACAGTCGGGAGTGTCTTCAGGCCCTGGAGTTCCCAACGCCCAAGCACGAGGTAGCCCTTCCTTGCAAGCATGTACACTTTGTTGGGGATTGCGATGATGTACCTTTGGATGCGACAGTCGAGTCAGAGTATGAGCAAGCATTCGACCAGGTGCTCTACACTGATTCTGCCCCCTCCGCAGCGGCTATGTGCTGAAAGCAGCCTCAAAGTGGTTCTGTAGTGCCACCCCTCGACCTTCTCGACCAGCACGGCATGGCCAGTCTTCGAGATCGAGCGCTCCGGATGGCCGAAGAAGAGAAGAAGGAGGAGGGGAGTTTGCCACAGCGACGCATGGGATCTGTGAAGACAATGGCTGCGTGGAAGCGCCTGACCACCGCAGTCATGGTGATGCTCGCTACGGCGCGGCAACAAACCCTGGTGGATCACTGGACCCGACGCAGCTTGGAGGAGGAGAAGACCGTGACGGAGATCCAGATCCCCTACAAGAAGAAGAAGGACAAGGTCAAGCGTACGGGCCCGGTGAGCCAGGCAATCGGCAATCCATTGGAACAGAGCAAAGCCCACAAGGAGTTCCCCAAGACTCGTCAGGAATGCAACCACCCCGCGGATGCATTAAGGTGCCGAGGGAACGCGTGGACAAAGTGGTGGACGTGCGCTCGGTGCGGTTCGAGATGGAATCGGCCGGAAGAGATCCAACCAACGCAACCACATCCGGAATCCTCCTCGAGCACGACAGCGGTGGTGGACGACAAGGCCGAGAAGATCACTACGCAACGGGGTCAAGAATATCCACGATATCTACCAGCACCTCGTGGACGACTGGAGCAAGGAGGTGACAATCAATCGCAAGGGGAAGGCGGGAAGGCGGAGGCCAGCCGCCCGGCAGTGGATCTTCACGACCTACAAGTCCTGGAGCAGCGGTCCGAGAACCCGTCGCAGAGATCATCGAGCAAGCCCAAAGAAGCAAGTCGGGTCCCCAGCGGTCTGCGGGAGACGAGGCGAACCAAAACGCTTCCACACAGCAACGGCCCGGAGATCTACGAAATGCACTCGGGGGACACTCGCTCGGGTGCGACGATATCTAGTGGAAGGACAGCGCATAGATAAGAGTCAACATGGGGTCTTCAAGCAGCTCAAGAAGGATGCAGTCAAGCATGGCATAGTGCTGAAGGCCTTCCTGGTACTCTTCACCGTCGCTAATGGCCTGGATCTGTGTGGACTCGAGGATCTTTGCGAAGGGAGTGGTGCTTCGAGAGGTTGCGGTCGATGGTGCCATGATCATCAGGAATGGGATTTTGGCGAGGAACCGACTTCTATGGCATCTGTATGGTGCCAGTTCTTCCCTCAAGCGGTTCTGCAACAATGGCTTCCTGATCTTGAGGGCACACATCAAACGTTACCTCGAGAAGATCGCAAGCAACTCTCGCACTACCTCCAAAAGAAGCCCAAGGTCATGGAAGTGTACTCTCCACCCAGAATGACACCATGGGCCAAACAATATGGTTTCCAAGCAGCGGAAGCCTTAGACCTGGCCACTGGCTGGGACTTCAATCTACAGCGTCATCGAGCCGAGGCTGTTCGATTGGTGGCGTCCCATCGCCCCGCGCTGGTCCTGCTATGTCCACAATGCACCTTCGCGACCACATTGCGATTCCTCACCAACTACAAGCGTGATCCAGATGTGGTGGACCGAGAAGAAGCCGAAGGGCAACGCCACACCGACTTCGCGGTGAGACTGGCCATCATTCAACACGAGGCCGGCAGAGGGTTCTTGTTCGAGCAAAGTCTTGGAAATCCAATTCATTGCGCAAGCTGGCAGCTTTACGTGGAGTGTTTTCGGTAGAGTTGGACATGTGCCGTTTTGGGCTCCAGACCAAGGACGGCGAGGCCGTGTTGAAGCCGACCCTAGTGCTTACCAACCTGGCAGGTGTGGCCAAAGCCCTACAACGCCGGTGCAATGGTCATCATCCAACACATCGACCTCTTCTTGGTGGCGGGCGAGCACGCGATGCAGCACGCTACACCGACTCTTTTGTGCAGGCCATCTTGCGTGGTTTGCGAGAATCTCTTGTATGGAGACACTTTCCAGTGTTTCACATGCCGGACCAATGGCTCCGGTGTTGGGGCAACTTACGGTGCCAACACTTTGTGCCCCGCTATGCCTTGGCGCTTCCTCAAGAATGCCAACAATTTTCTGGGCAGGACCTCGAGTTCACCGGTCAGCGTGTCACCCACCAGCACTTCGTCGACGGCCGCAGCGTCGTCACTCGTGACAACTGGAAGTTGGCCACGCCCTCATTGCACAGTTCTGTGGCGTGGACCGGCTTCACCGAGTTCGAGGTCACTCCTACAGTGGTGCTCCCGGACAGCTATCGGAGCACAGCCTTGTGGGTGGCCAAATCGGCCGCCCACGATCTTCATGCTTTTGTCTCAGACGAGACCGATTTTCAGACAGAATGGCTTCAAATGTTTCCGTCGCACAGAATTTTGGGGGATGGGCGCTCGGCAAGTTCGAGTCGCGCTGCTCCCGACGAGGACTTCGACTTCGACACCTTTGTGGATTCAGCGGATGTGGCGACGGAACCAGAAAGATTTCGGCAGTCGCAGAAAGATGAAGGAGTACCTGCTGTTGCTGGGAAGAAACCGGAACTTGGCGAAGATGAACGTTCCGCCCGCCGAGAACTGCGAGATCTACCTGTACGGCCGAACTCCATTGGGAGAAGCATCCTAGCGCCGGATCTGCGTCGGGAAGTATACCGGATCCATCGCAATTTGGGACATCCTGAAAGAAAAGCGTTTTGTCGAGCCTTGAAGCACGCCGGATGTCGTGATGAGGTGTTGACGTACGTGAAGGATGAATTTCAGTGTCCTATTTGCAAAGCCAAGCAACGACCAGCCAGCCATCGACCAGCGCATCTGGTTAGATCGATGCCGTTCAACGAAGTCATCGGTCTGGACCTAGTCTTTTACCAGAAGAAGATACTGTTGAACCAGATCTGCTGGGGAACCTCTTATCAGATCATCAGCATCGTGCCGGGACAAGAGCACCGAGGAGGTGACGAAGGCCTTTGTTCGCGATTGGATAATGCGCTTCGGGGTCCCTCGGCTAGTCGTCGTGGATCAGGGAGGCGAATTCGCCTCCGACTTCTTCTGCAATGTGATAGGGGACGCTGGAGCTATTGTGCACTTCACCGATGCAAGGGCGCCGTGGCAAAACTCCAGGACCGAGAAGGCAGGTGGAATCTTCAAACAGAAGCTGGAGAAGATATGTGAAGAGATGGTGGTCAAGTCCGACGCGGAGTTCCACTGGTCAGGGCCTGGATTGGTGGTGGCTCTGGCTTCCAATCACCGCTCCGTATGGGTTAGCGTGCGCGGATATCTCGTCAAAGCCTCTCGGGAACAAGTTCGCCTGGCAACCAGCGAAGAGAACATTGGAGTGGAATTGGCAGAGATACTGTCGAATGAGATGTTGGAGAAGCTCAACCAGGCATCGGTTAAGCACTACAAAGACATCCAAGAGGAGGGTGGACCACTGGCCGCGGAAGCGGCCGAATTGCAAGACCTGGAGAGATCTCCGACAAACCAGTCGCCAGAGTCAGCGATTCCAACCACGTCGAATCTTCAGGAGCCGGACACGGAGGTAGAATACTCTCCGTCGATCGCCGATGCCGACATGCAGGTGGACGAGCCATCACCAATGACCGGGCAGGAGGCGGACAACGGACAGACGGCTAGAGATCCAGTTTTCTCGCTGGAAGAAGGAGGGTCCACCCGGACACCGTCAGTACCATCCTCCCGAAGGCCAAGCTCCCTGGGATCGGTCCGTGTAGATGAAGGATCATTTGGAACGATGAGATTTGGACCAATACGGCAAAGCTCTTCAGCAGAGAACGTGGCTATGCCGTACCCATGGACTCAACCAATGCCTTCGATGCCTACACCTCCTGGCAGATCAATGTATCTGGAAGTAGTGATCACCAAAAGGATGGCGCGAAGTACTGGTACGACAAGGTCCATGGACGACGAGAACCAGTAGCAGTCAGGAAGAGCGAGGAATTCCCGGCTTACTTGGCACAGGCGTTCTTCAGTCAGATGGACAGGAAGTTCTTCATCGTCAAGAAGAAGGAGTCGCCGGGCCAAGTGAACTTCTGCAAGCTTAGAGAGCAAGAGAAGGTGGTTTTCCGGGCAGCGAGAGACAAAGAGATCAAGTCGCTCTTGGATTCGGGGGCTATCCGGATTCTGTCAGTTCAAGAAAGCAGGGAATTTCGCCGAAAACATCCTGACCATGTCCTGTCGTCCTGTACTTCCCGACGACTTCGATGCTAACCAACCTGGAGAACATCGGGAACAAGTGGCGGCGAAATCGCGGTGGTGCGTGGTAGGATGGCGAGACCCACA